GAAAAACGGTTCCCTTCTTTCTCTCTGGGGTCTGACGTTCTTACCAGAAAGGTGACTCTCTATAATTTACTCTGTTACAGTTTCCTGATCATTTATTTTTTCTTAATGAGACTGCTGAAGAGTAAGATAACAAGAAGGCAGACTCCAGATCAGATAAAAAGAGAAGGAATAGACTATTTCTTACTGCCTGCCTGCAAAAGGAGGAGACATCAGTCTCGGTTACACAGTTCAAGTCATGAATGCTTCCAGCTTTGTGAATCTGGATTCATGCATGGCCAGGTACACTCTCCTTTTGCAGTCTTGCTTCCCTCAAAAAAATCCCTGGCATGTGGGTCAGAAAAAAGTAACCCAAATCTTCCCCTAAATGTTTCTTCCTGTTGTCTATTCCAACTGTATTGTTTACATTCATGCCTGGACCCTGTCTCTGATGGGAAGTGGATGAAATCCACTGTTATCTGCACAGTCCCACAACTCTACAGGAAGAGTGCATGGCACCAGTTTTGTTCTGCAGAGTATCAACAAGTACTTTGTCAATGTTGATTCCTCTGAAACAGCGTTGCAAGGTGCCTCAACAGGGAGGGAGCAAAATCCAGCTGTAGCTGGGACACAGGCAATAGCATTCTTTTGTGCAGCAGATGTTTTTTCTTCTCCTCCTCCCTGCAAGTTTTCATTTTTCTCTCTGCTTAGAGTAGTGCCTATAATGAGGTCTTCAAATAAAATCAGCTACAAAGTTTCAAGTTTGCAAGCCTGATCAGCTCAATAAAACAAGTCAAGCAAACAACAAACTCTAACCCAAGTATTGTGGTGACTGGCGCTGCTTTTGTCTAAACAAGGCATACTGCTGTCACTGCACGACAACCTTCATGGTGTTTTTCAACAGCATTATGGACAGCTCCCAGAACTCACAGTATTTCAAAATCCTAGTACTTTTAAGTCATATATCTTAAGCTCCCTTATGCCTCAAGAAAAAAGCTTTTTTCTGGGGAAAGGTAAACAGTTTGTAACAAATTTATTAAAACTATCCCCATCAACAATTCCAAAAGCTATTAGCGTTAAATATTGAAACTAATTTTTAAGAGCCTAAAGGGAGCATTTTCAATTTAATGCCGAGATAAATACCACCTGACGTGATGGCTACTTTCATTAGTTTGTTTCAGCTCTAGTGCCTGTAATGAAATTTAATTAAATTGATTTGGGTACTTAAAGTTACAGTATATTGCAGTGTCCTGCAGAGAAGAAAGCTAACTCAAAAGCAAAGTGTGTGAGACTGTATTTCAGAAACCAATTTACCAGTCATAAATGTGATCTAGGAGAGGAAGAGTAAGACAAAAAGATCTGACAAACTGGAAAGAAATTCAATGCAGTTCTGTTACAGAATGGATGCATTTGTTAATGTGCAACAATTGATTAATAGCTGGCAACTGCACACTACCGGAGGGCACAGAACAATGAGAGTACAGAAATACTGGTATATGTCCTTATTGTCTCTTCCACGGTATCTTCTACTGGGTATTTATCTGTATTGTCACTATAATGGATAATGTATTAATCTCTCAATTATAATCCATAAAGTCCAAACGTTAAAGCTTGATTGGTAGTGACATGTTTCCAATGATATGTTCTTGGGAAAGCTGCAGGGATTAGATGTGGAGCAGTTGTTGGATAACCACTGAAGAAAACAAAAGTGATACTGTATTCTCACTGATCATCTTTTACTGGGCTTAAGCAGTAAACAGGTATTTTGTCTCCCTGCTCAACCTCGAATAATTTTGAAAATTAGTAATTTTCTTCAGGGAATTAATTATTTTGTCAGGGTGACTAAATTTACTGTGCCAAACACCTACTGCACAGGTATGTTATGAAATGATGCAACAAATCCAATAATGAAACAGCTAAAACCTGAGAAACTACAGAGAATGTTGTGTCCTGCCTCCCCCAAGTTTACAAACTCTTCTGCATGCTACTTCTTCTTTCAGGTCTGATCCTTTTGTGACTTGATTTAATAGACATTTTTCCAGATGACTTGAAGCACACAGGACCAGACTTGTTTTGTCATTCTATTTCCTTATCTGTAAGCCAGCATTTACTGTTTCCAGGATACTAGTTGTGATAACCACTGCTCCTGTAATGGTAATAAGCTGTAGAAGTGTGATAGGCAACCACTTGCAGGAATCAGTAACTAGGTCTACCATGGTGTTAGAACTTGGTGATACAGCAACAGAGCAAAGTGCCTGTAAGTACATAACGTAGGATCTACATGCTTTGAAACTCAGCCAGACACTGCTCTGAGTTGCTGGTGTTGCTTCTTTTGCAAGCTGAAGCACTGCCGTCGGGTTAAATGAAACATCTGGACTGATGTGCACCAATGTGACACTGTCTAGAGTAAAAGATAAATCTGATGTGAATTAAGTCAAGGCACATCAGACTTACACAGGTCTGGGCAACTGTTCACTGGGAATTTGTTGTCATGACGCTAATCAGACATAACAGAAATTAGAACTGGATCAAATTATCTACATACATTGACATATGAAAGTTATGTGCATGACTTGACTGCAGTGAGAAATCTAAAATGGTAACAAGGTTGGAGTGATTCACATATGTATCTCACGGACGTGCCTTAAATGTTCACCAATCACCACAGTTATCATTAGGCTTTACAAGCTGGGACTGTCTTATTTTCTTTTAATACAAGAGGAAGAATAAATTCCCAGTGCTTCTCAACAGAGATACTGAGCCTGACTTCTCTCCCTCTGCCAGCCCCATGGGAGCAGAGGCTAACTAGCCCCCACCAATACACCTGAATATTGAGTGTGCTAGCAGGACTGCTCCCTGCATGCCATCAAAGTGTCAGCTGCTAAAGGAGATGGAGAGATGGCAGTTCTCTAAAAAAGCCCCTGCCTTTCTACTTGAAGTGTTCTGATTTTGGAAGAGTGACTTCAACTAAATGCTTACAACTTCAACATCTCGAGAAACACTCTTGAAAAATGAATCAAATAGTTTTAGATAAACTATCAATTTTAAAAAATAAAGGTATTCTTTATTTTTTTCTTTGAATTTACAGTGCCAAATCCTGTTATCAGTAAACGATTCCTGGAAGGATTGTCCTTTCTGGATTTGCTTCCATTGTTTCCAGGAAAACTCAAAACCAGCAGAGAGTAGCTGGGCATTCATCTGCTTTATGATGCATTTTGAATAAATTACTTCACTGATGGCTTTTTACTACTACCAGTTAAGCTACAAACAGTTGTTACGTAGTGTATTGATATTTTTACTTCTAGGATTTTATCTTTTGCTTCCAAAGTGGTAACTCAAGATACATTTCTGAAGAAAGGAGTAGGGATTGAGCCTGGAAGATACTGGCATTCTCCCAGTTTACATATTAGCAGTTGCTGTTTCGTTAAATCCTTCGAATGAATTCTGTGTTAAGTCTGCAAGTGGAAATCTGCAGTAATTCTAGTGGCTTCAAAAGACAAAGAGCTGACGACTCCAATTGTCCAAATTCCCATCCTCTCCGAAAGACTTACCAGCCTGTCCCTCAAAAACAAATACAAAGTGAAAAATATGGATCACTGAAGCTCATCTTAATTTGAAGATTTTCATGTTTATGTTTATAGTCTTATTTCCACTTTATGAAAGCTGGAAAATTACTTAAAACAGAGAAATTATTCAAGTTTAGGGGATTTTAATCTATCATAATAATTAGGATAAAAGTGCAGAAGTTGCTCACAGTATGTCCACTCAGCCAAACTGATTAAAGGAAAATACAGTTTGCATTCCATGCCTTCTGATGATGCTGCTGCCAGTTAGTTACTGGTTGCAGGTTATGTCTGGAGTGTAATACCTGCTGCTGTGTGAGCCTGGGAGGAAGGCCACTCACTCCTCCCTTGCACAGACATAACTCAGGGGAGAGGATGGAGACCCAGCGGAGAGCACCACATGAGCAGTGCCATCACCTGAGCCAAGGCAAAGAGCAGAGGTGGCTAGACTGGGCAGAGCAGGACCGAGTCAGAGCTGCCACTGGAGCAGGGCTCTCAGCCTCAGTGCCTGATGCTGGAGGGCTGCCTCACTGCTCCCCGGTCAGCATGGCTGCGTGATACACACATGCCCTGCTTCAGTCTCCTGTCGTATGATGTGCAGTGGGCTTGACCTCAGCACCTTTCTCCTTTTTACTCTGAATTTCAATGTACAAATGCCTTTTACTTTTAAGGGGCTGTTCCTGCATACCAGACACAGCAGAAGTTCAATTGCTTAAGAAGCTAAAAGAGAAATACATATTAAAGAAGGGCTCCTAGACAGACAGATATTAACTGTTTGGCGCTGGATGAAGATTATTAAGTTTTCTGTAGGCTCTTTAAACTGACATTTTCAGAATCAGTTGCTAAACTCATTCTTTTTGAAACAAGACACGTACCTCCCAGCCTCCATCTCAGCTTCTCTGAAAGCAAAGCTATTATTCTCCTATTGTCAGCATTCCGCCCCAAAATCATTTAGAATATTTTCTCTCCCTGTTTTTCTCCTGTCACCACAGAGCCTGAGGTACTATATTCTTCTGAGAGTAACACCCAATTTTTTCCTTTCAAAATAATCAGATAGCCTCGATCGTTCTTCTCTTTTTCAAATGCCTTTTTTTTTGTGTGTGTGCAGTGTTACCATCTTCTAATCACGTATCTTCTACCATAATTTTACATCTCATCCCTTGATTTTAGCTATGAAGAGACACACAATAAGGGAGAGATATGTTAATTACTTGCCAAATCTGTCCAAGTGAGAAACAGCTAGGTAGCTATCCCTGGTTGTTTTACATAGTGCAATTGTGGGATGTATCAGGGAATCACTGAGGCATTGCTTTACCTATCCGTAATTAATTATTGATTTCCTGTTGTGCAAGTTGCAAAGATGACAAGACCTAATCTGATGAATATAATAGCTATAAGAAAAGGGAATCGTATGTGAGGCAAAGCATGAAGGACAAGACTTCAGATATGGCAGAGTTCATTATTCATCATGCTGGCTATATGCAGCTAAATAATAAACCTTTCAAAACACTGCAATAAAATGAACTAAATTCATTTTTCAAAGCATCACTTTGTCTTTTAAACAGAAATAAAATTCTTTTAATATATTTTAGAGGAAATGAAGGTAGTATTTGACCCTTCAGCTAGAATTTCTGTTTTCCTGTTTTCCCCTGCATAAGGTATGTAAGCTGTAATTTAAATTGTTAGAATCACAAATAACTATTTTTGCTTGTATCTTGTATGCACAAAACCCCCTGCATCCAAGAAGAAGTGTTTACTGTAATTTTTCACTTGTACTGTCATTTTCATTCCAGTAATGCAATTTCATCTATCTTCACATGTTTATGGCCTAGAAATACAAACTCTGCCTCTTGCCCGCAAAATCTCACGGGCAGGACAAACACTACTTTACGCTCAGGGTCAGTTTCTTAAGCCTGCTGTCCTTACAAAGGCTAGAAACCAATCAACATCTCTTACTTTCCACACATTAAACCCATAAAATCAGCCAAATGCAACTTTCCCATTGTACCTGTGAGCATAAAACATAAAAAAAAGATCACTATCAGAATAAAATATGCACTATTGTCTCTTCTGGTGAAAAACATGGTAGGATTGATGATACTGACCGTGATCAAGAGCCCTCAGGACTTTCTGCTTCCTGAAGAGTGGCACTGTGTCTAAAAACCAGGGATTATTTTACTCAAATATGTAGCTGCCTGACAAAAAAGAAATCTGTGCCCTTTTGGAAAAATCACTAGATAAACATGCTGTTCTCAGGTTTAGGTCAAAAGCTCTTGTATGAATACACTTAAACTAAAGAATTAGAGATCTGACTGATTACTGCTAAGCTGTAGGAGTTTTAAGGAACTGCTGCTTTGAACGTGTAGTTTCATTATTAACACTTCATTAATAATGAGAAATGCGTATTTTATTTTTTTTCTAATTGAGATACCTTTAAGAGTTTTTGATTTGGAAAGTAAGAGCTTTAGTATCATTTACTCAAACAGGAACACACTACTGGACCAAAGCCTACAACTCTCTAGGGGAACCACAATTTTCTCTAAAATCACTTTGTTACATTAAAAGTAATAAAAACAATTTAGAAACTGCCAGTGAAACTTTTCATTTCTACTTTCTTCAGGAAGAAGAAGCTATAGCTCTTTTATCAAGACAAACTGTATCAGATAGTAAATGAAGTAAAAAGCCTCAGAACAAAGAGCACATACTACAAAAGAGACTCCTTTCAAAATACAGGGTTGCTTTCTTCCAAGACCGAAACAGCAGACATATTCAGGCCGTTTTTGAATTCTGTTAGCAGTTTTAGCACAAGAAGAGGGAAGAAACAAGGACAACCATGACACCTTCCCAGCACTTTTTTCCCCACCCATTATTAGATCATGTAGAACATCAAAGAATGTTCTACATGACCTAAAGTAGGATATTGATGCACCAGCTTAGTATTTCATTGAACTTTGATTGAATTTACATGTACTGGCCACATTAAACAAACACTTTTAACCTCCTTATAGGACTCAGAAGAAAGATGATGATGATAACATAAGTACAGCAACAGATGCCCAGTGTTACATATCAGACCATCACAGCTAGACTATTTACCTCTGAAAAGAAAATATGCTTTGACTGCCATAGTAATAAACTCCATTTGATTTCCATCCCCTCTGTGCTGCTTGCAAATGCTTTTACTAGTAGTAGAAGTTCTACTGATCTTATTCATTTACAAAACTATAAGCAGCCATCCAACATACCCATTGAGGTTTGCTGGGAGAAACTGAGTTTCTCACCTATACTCTACTCACACATGCTTTTATCTGTGTCTAAACCTAGATATGCAAACATCAAGCACAGAAGTTAATTAAAAATCATATTTTGTTCTGAATGTAAGAAATCATGTTCCTTGAATGAATTCTGGAGAAAAAGATAAACACAAATCAAAAATGGGTTATCTTAACATGTATCTTTAAAGGACTTTCAAGTGTTCAGAAAAACTTTTGGATTCCTTTCAGTATTGTACATCTGAATCCACCTAAATTTTGTTTGCCATTAATTAACGTTATTTATGGTTTAAAAATATTTAATACATTACTTAAGTGGACTAAAAATGTCCTAAAAGACATGCAGTTGATTTTCTTACTTATCTACTTCAAGTATTAAAA